TAAGAAAGAAATCGAAAAAAAACTCTGTTACCTTACTTATGGGATACTCTGTATACTGATATTAGTTACATGATAAGATTATTTAACTAAAATCGAAATACCTATATATGTATTGTGGTAAATTAATTTACATCTTCACCAGCACCCTCACTTTACAGATGAACTGAAAGAAAAGTCGCATCAAATTTTTTCGACATTTTTGTTTTATTCAGAGGTATTGATGTCATTTTGTTACATTTTCAGCAATCTCTACCTATCTAAATATAATTCTTTTCACTGGACTTAACAAGAAAATATTTAAAAAAAAACGGCATAGTCATTTTTAATGACAAAATTTAAATCTTCAAAAGGCGAGATACAAATAAAAAAAAAGAATATCATCATGTTTTTCTAATAATATATATCAACTCTGCATGATGTTGGTCTTGCTTATTCTATTTTTTCAAAATATTGCTTTATCATCATCAGCCACATATTATACTATCCAACCATGTTCAGGGTATTCAGAGTATAAAAATTTACATCCGTAAATTATTTTTGATATTTCTCTCTTTTATATCTAATAGGTCTCCATATTATGCAGGTATCAACACCTATGATCCTCAATCATCAGCATTTGGGTTCTATGGAAATTTTTCATTTCATGTTGTCCCAGATAATACAACAGACTATTTTTGTTTTGCAGCAGATCCTGTTGCTGTTATGAATAACACATACTCAATAATATTTACGCCTCTATAATGTCATGCTGAAATATCACATTTGCTTCTGTTAAGATATTATATACAAACGAAAACCTATGAGCAGAGTCCGTAGATCTTAAAAGCCAGAATATTTTATTATCTTCATTATGATCCGCGTCGTCAACATCTTTTCGGTTTACGTGATGTCTATACACCTGCATATATTATTGAAGATTATAATACAACGACATTTGATGTTATACAAGAATATACACAACAAAATGTAACACAACATGGATGGGCTTGTGATGGGTGTTCAGTATTCGATCCAGATGAGAATTGGGTTGTGGAAGTTCGAGTAGTATCTGATGGTCGTGAGTACCATGCATGTTATCTGAAAATGGATTTAAATCTTGTTGGAAAGAAAAAAGATATTGTTACCAAATTTCAGAAATTACCAAAACTTAGTGAGCCTTATACGATGACTTATGATATGGAAGACAAAACTTATACTTTTAACATTGAAACGTAGATCGATTCTTACAGAAACTGTTATGCTCTATATGAATCCTTATACAAGTAAATTTCAAAATGAAACACCCCTTTTAAAAACACCATTTGGATGGTTTGTCCAATCTGTTCAAGCCCTCTTTGATGAATCAACTCGTCAAATATGATTTCTAATGAAACAAACTGATCTACAACAAATTCAATTAATTGTTTGGTCAGTCATTGTCGAATTTTGATGCAATGAAAACAATAGAAAAAAAACAAATTAATACAGTACTCGATCTTCAGATGTGGACATTTTTTAAATAAGAAAATAATTAAAATTCACAGAATTAGACTCAAGAAGATCCACGAAAATTAATTAAGAGTTTTGTTATTAAAGGAAAATAATACTTTCAGTTTAGAGGAATAAGTACAACAACGATAGAAGACAATAAGAAAATTGTAGACTGTTGCAAAAAAAAGAATGTGTGTTTCTTTTATATAGAAATTATCTGATAAATAGATTGTTATTAGGTCATATTAATATTTAAAAAAATCAAGAGCATTTCATTCATTGGTAATCAATCAAGCTAAATTTTGCTGAGAAAAATTTAACCAAATAAAAGATATTAAAAGCATTGTTTTCTCTCATGTATCATAGTCAAAGGGTGCGAGTGTGCCAGGGGTGTCGGTGTTGGTTGAAGAAGAATTGCACCGAGATCCACACACACCCACACTCCTACACAAGATGTTGTATTCAAAACTATAGCTCAAAGACCTCAAGACTGAAGTCTCTGTTATTTCTCGCTCGGCACTGTATTGCCCTAATTAACACACCGAAAAGATCAACACAGTGACTCTTGTTGTATAATAGAACGCCGGAACATTTACCATGTCTTTTTAAATCTGCGAAAAAAAAACATAACATAGGTTTTCATTGTACGAAAGTAGAAGTCTGTCACAACTTAAGTAAAGTTGTAATGCTCATCAGTTCAATTATTAAAATTAACTTGATTTTTGCTTATGAAGATAGAATTCTTTTTCTTTCTGAAACGTAATGATTCAATGACGGACAAATAAATAAGTTGTTTATTCGAACAAACATTAACTTTATATTTATCATGATTCATAAAAATTACATTCTACCCAATAATCTCGTTGATCATCTGCTTCATCATGTCAATAAGACTATCAAACAATGACCAAACCTTTTTTTTTAAATACTACGAAATTCAAACACACTGTATTATGTTATGAAAACAACAGCAAAAGAAAAACTGATATGTTTACGATATAAGTGTAAATGAATAAAACAATTAAATAGGACACATAGGTGGATTGACAAAACCAAATACATTTAATTCAATTAATAATGAAAAAATAACGAATATTCCATAGACAGCAAGAAAAAAAATGCCAAGAAATGGATCTAAATACCATTTTCTACCATGAAAACTCATCACCTATAATTAAAAAAAACATTAACATAACAAAAAAACTTTCATATTTTTTTTCTCTTTTACTGTTATAACAACAATGCCAAGTAGTAATACCGAATCATACAAAAGTCCATTGGAATTAATATGTACTGCTTCACCACTAATTAATGTTTTAAGAAACCATGGTAAGGCAAGTCCAACAAGTAAATCAAATACATTTGAACCAAATGTATTTGATACACCCATATCCACAAGACCTAAGAAATTAAAAATTTTTAGATGCTAGGGATCATTCATCGTAAAACACGCATATCACAAAAGTCAGGTCACTTTTAGTGATAAACCGCGGTTCACTGGTAATTTATCTAGTGAACTGTAGAAAATGAATGGTTGCAGAATGAAAAAAAAACATATATGTGCATGTTTGTCGCATCACTTATTTCGTTTGCTTGCGTGCTTACTTAGAGAAAAGAATCAATAAAACAATGATGAGATGCGGTTGAGAATTTATATTTTTTTTTTATATTTATTTTCTTAGATTAATTCTTTTATATTTATATTTTAAGTTTAATTTTTTGTGTGTATTTTTTTGCGTTGGCTTGTATTTTTATTTTTGGTTAAAATAAAAATTATGTTAATTGAAAAGTAACTGTTAAATTTAAGTACAAATAGGTTAAATTATTGTGATTCGACTGAACTCGGACTCTGCTTGAGACCTTCATATCATCATTGAACAGACAGTATATTCGCTGAACATCATTATCCGATGCCAATAAAGAAAACTCGATGGAGTAGAAGAAAACTGTCTTTTTATATCTGCAAAATATTCAGACTGTAGATCGAAAAAATTTTCTCGTAAATCGACCTGAGATCAACCATTCTTTTTTTTGCGACCCGCCTCACGACGAATTTTTCTGTATCATTTCATTTAAATTCAACTTATTACCTTGTCGAACAACTAAAACACTACTAAGTGCATCTGGAATACTACTACCAGCTGCAAGAAATGTTATTCCCATAACACTATCTGGTATACCAAATGTAAAACCAATTATTGTTACCATCCAAACCATTAGATAAGTTAATACACATAACCAAATAATAGTCATTAAGAATGTTAATGGATACCATTTTAAGAATCTATTATCGATTTATTTGATATTAAATAATTTAAAATCTATTTTACTTACTTTGGATTTCGACAATCAGGAATAGTATAATAGAAGAGAATTTTAATTGGTATAATAAATGCCCATTTAATAAATCCAATAAGATCATAATTATAATTCGGAATATTTTTCCAATTATCATAAGTTTCTTCTATTGCTAATAAACTAAAAGTAAAAACAAAAACAACCAATTTCTTTTTGATTGAAAATATTAAAATATAATGACCTTGGTGTTCGACCTTGATAAAATGAAAATCGTCGTTCATTGATCGGTTTATTTGGACGAATAACACCTTGTCCTTTTCGTAATTTTATCTAGAAAATAAATAGAAAATTTTTTTTTTCTTTTCAAAAATTATTTTATTTAATTATACCTCAGTGATAACAAATCGAACAGCCATTTTAAATCTTGTACGTCCTCGAAAATATCTTGACATCATTATTTTTAATGCTGCTGTTTCAAAATCTAATGATATATGTGACATTCCAATAAGATCATCAACTGGAATTCTTGATGAATTATCTTCTTCATCAAAACGTTCTACAAAAATTCAAAAGAATATCTTTATCAATTTTTAAAAATCAAAAAAAAAATTTATTTAACGATAAGTATTCGTCATTCCATAAGTTTTTTGTGGTTGTGCATAATTCATAATTGGTTCATCTAGAGCATTAAATTTTGCAAATATTTGCCATCGTTGAACAATAAATCGTTGTAAATTTTGATTATTACTATTAGAAACAGAACAAATATCAAAAAGAAAAATATTTTTTGTTTTTGAGTTTCTACCACATAATAATAATGTATCCAACATAGAGAAAAAGAAGAAATGCTGATTCAAATAATGTTATTCGACCATCAGATAAACACTGTTTATCAAATATATGTATATTTATGTATATTTTATTATTTCAAATCATACTTACAAAAATTAAAATTATGATTGAAAAAGCATAATACACTGAATCTCGACATAATGGCCTACGGAACAAAAATATATTTCAGACTAAAAATAAAAATTTAATATTAAGTCTTCCTCCAACATCCCCTCAAAACTCAACTTCGAGCCATTTTTAATATATGTTGGAACTGTAGTGAAGAGATTATGATAAAAATTTCGGTTGTATATCACAACATTTTTGAGAGATATTCATCAAACAAGGATCAAAAGATTTCCTGTAGGTCTTTATGCTATAAATTTTATTGCTTTTTAATTGAAAGAGCATTTCATACAGCAGTGCATGACAGAGACCTTTTTTTAAATTCGTACTTTTTATGCTAAGAAACAAGATGGTAAGCTTAATTGCTCGAAAACAAATAGTCATCTAATAATAGATTGAAACAAAAAAAAGAAATTCGCTACAATGACGCTCCTTTGGAAATCTTGGAATACGCATTCAGAGAAAAATTTGTCGTTTTTTCTGAAAAAAAATCTATTTTTCAAAAAAAAGTTTTGAATAAGGGGGACTTATTGAGATATGAAAAACCAAATTTATCATGTTGTAGAGCTTTTTGAGACGCGTCGAATGGTATATAGGAAATACTGTTTTCATAAGACTATGAAAGACCTAGAATCAATTTACTGATAGATGACTACACACCCACACTAGCAAGATGGCACATATAGAAGTTTGTAATCCGTCAAAAACTCTACAAAATCGTATGTGAGAAAAAATATTTTACGACTACCAAGGACCACAATATTCAGAAATTTATCATGCTTGGATGTGGATGTATAGCCGTCTATCAGTAAATTGACTCTAGGTCCTTTAAAGTCTTATGAAAACAGGATTTACTTTATACCATTCGACGCGCCTCAAAAAGCTCTACAACATATTTTATCTAGTTTTTCATTTCTCAATAGATCTTCTTATCCGAAAAGATCTTTCAAACGCCGTGGTCAGAACTTTTGATATGTTCTAAGTATATTTAGAATTTGACTGTTAACATATACATATCTACATACCACCAAGTCAATCGAATAGCCTAAATAGAGAAATTTCATGATTTTATTTCTATTCAATTTTTAAACTTACTCCATTAACAAACAATCCACAAATACCAATAACACATACTACATTAAATACAGCAGAACCGACAATTGTTCCTACACCTACATCACCTTTAGCCACAAATATGCCTAAATTTAAAAATCATAATGAAAAAATAAATATTCTTGAAATTGAATTTACATACCAATAAGAGCAGTAAAAAGTTCCGGTGATGATGAGCCACCAGCCATAAATGTTGCACCAGCAACATCTTCATCAAGATTTAATGCCTATAATAACATATAACGAGTTATCGAAAAATAATTTAACAAAATATTCGTTACACTTTAAAAAGTCTGTAGAAATTTGGAAACATTGAATAATCATTTTAGTAAAAAAAGAAAAAGAAATACTCAAATTTACTCAATAAATCATAGCATTAAATCAATTTTCTTTTAAGAAGTTGAAAAAATGAAAGAAATTTATTTCTTCATTAGAAAATAACATATGCAATAAAATACATACCGCACAAAGTTTATCAAGTGCCGCAATAAAATAATCATCAACAAGAATAGCAATAGCAATAAAAATATAAATACAAGCAAATAAATGAAATATTATAGCTCCCTTGAAATAATTCATTCTATATTTATTAATGAAATCATAATAATTATTTACTTACATGACGTCGTTGAGATTGTGTAAAAAGATCTTCAGGAAATTCATCAATAGCTTTAATTAAGAAGAAAATAAAAAATTAATTTATCATAAACTAATTAGTCATATCACAGAAGAATTGAAATAATACTCACCAGGTTCAGTACAATTTTTAAGTTGTCCTGGTTGCCATCTTATTGTATTTAATTTAATAGTACTAGTAGAAATTGTCGATAGATTTTCATCATCATCAATTGGTTCTAAATAAATATCATGTTATTCAAAACAAATAAAAAAGATTAAAACTATAATTCTCATGAGAATAAGCTTCGTATGTTTCTTTTTTTTAACATCTATGTCTAACAAAAAGATAAGATTTTTTTTTTCTTCTAACCACTGTTAATAGTTGTTTTTTGTAATCGATATTTCCAATTTGATTTTCTATTTGGAGTAGCATTACTTAATCGAAATTGTTGTCCAATAATATGAGCCAAAGCAAGACCAACAAGAATTCGAATAAAAAATTTAATATTATGTCGATTGATAATATTATTATTGATAAATCGTCTGGGTATTTGCGAAATTGATGAATTTTGAATCATAATCTTGTTGACAATATTTTAATCTAGTGAACATTAGTTATAGAGTTTGTAATATTTTATTCTTCATTTACTCATCATTTTCTATGTTTAAGAACAATGATAATGAGAGTGAATCGGAAGAAAAAATTTCGTGAACTAAATGAGAGAGAGAGAGAAAGAAAAAAGACAAGACTCTATAGATAGAGATAAAAAGAAAACCGCCACTGCTACACAATTAATTATTGCAAATAAAGAGGAAAGAACTAAAAAAAAAAAACGTCTTTCACCGGAAACACGTAGAAAGACAATGAGAAAAAGACCGGAAAAATGTCAACGACATAAGAATAGATATACAAAAAATTGAACTGGATAATGCAATAAGAAAAAGAATGTCGATAGTGATCGGCATATTGACTACTAATCATGAGAAGAAAAAAACTACTTCAACATCGAAGAAAAAAAGAAAAACGAGCCATACAAAATATATAGTCATCGATGTATTGTTGTCTTCTATTCTTATTTGTCATATTCGGAATTCTACCAATAAAATCATGGTTTCTCTTCTGTTAAATTTCTAGCTAAGTCATGCCACAAGAATAATCAACATATGCATATATTCAAGCAAGAAACTGATAATAGACATGCATGCATATATGCATAAAACAAAAAACCACGACCAACAAGAAATGACTCGGATCATATGTCATATATTAGGACATGAAAGAAATTATGGATTTAATAATTAAGAGAGATAGAGAGAGGAAACAAAAAAAAACCTAGTACTTATTGTTGATCCAATCGAAAAAGAAAAGTCGTTAAAAACATAGAAGTCATTAATAATTCTTTTGAAAGAATGATATTAGAAATTTCTGTCCATTATATTTAATAATGATAGTAAACATTGAGTACAAGATTTATAGAATGAATAAATAAAAATGCTATGATTATTTTTAGAATGGATTGTTATTAAAATTTTCATTCATTGGTGTTAATCCCAATGGAAATAATCAAATTATCTATTCGTTCTTCTGTAAATTCTAATAGTAATATAAGATATAATTTAGTTATCGTTCCGATATGTCTTATAAATTGTAGTTTATTATACATAGAACTAATCACTAGTATTTGTCAATAATATTGTAACATAATTAATCAGTTGATTTGTATTTTTAAAAAAAAATGAAAGAGAATTGACCTATTGAATATTCTAATAAATTAATCAATTAAGTAGTTTTACATTGATGGATATTTTTTATGAAGTATTTATTTTACAATCTGAATATTTATTTATAATAAATACAACAGAAATATTTCCTTTATAATAAATTGCATAAACGATTGAATACACAAAATCAATTTTTTTTTTTGAATTATAAAAATATGATCTATATGTTTCATAATAAAACTGACAGTAACTTGAAATGGAAATGAAGTCAAAAGACAATGCTGATTTCTGTTTATTTGCTTTTTTTTCTCCATCTTGATTATTCAAAATTACTACAATCTAAACGCATAAATGGAAATTTTTATGCAAAAAAGACAAATGTATGTCCTATGTTGAATATATCTGTCCTTTAAAAAGAAAATATATGCATTTGATCTAAAGAATAAACAAATTTTGTTTTCCTACTCTAATGAATCAATGAACCGTAAATTGTTCAATTAAAAATATATATCACAAGAACAATAAATGTACTAAGAAATCAATACAATACTTCTAAAAAAAAAGCTATAAGTGCAATCCCTGTAGAATTAATCATCGTTTTGCTTAATCTTCCGGAAATGCAATAAGGAAGTCGTTCATATACGATTTATGACTGTATATCAACGCCTATCACGATCTGTGACGGGTGCGGAAGATCAAAATTTTCACGTCTATATTACAACATTTCTTTTAGATCGTATTGCACAAAAAAATTGTTCTAAATCTTAATTGGTTTTTATTATAAATTCTATTTCGCATAATCGAAAAAATATTCTCAGGAAATCAAAAATAATATATAATCACGCATACAATGAAGAAGTATGGAATAAATGATATTTATAATCGTAGGCAAGGATATTTACGTTTGACAATCAATTTTCTCAATAGCATCAACGCAAAATTTCCTATCGGATTATTTTGAATTTAAATAAATTCTTCCCTCTGTTAATGTAAGTCCTACAGTATTATAACTTCATTTATGATATTACACAATATAATTTCCCTAGAATGAAAGGCTAGGGTCTAGAAACCATAATTCATCTGTGTCTGTCTGTTTATAACAAGTGCTTGGTACAAGTGACCATTTTTATGGTACCAATGGCCATAAAAATACAACCATCTGCTTGTCATCATTCCATCAGTCTAGGGCCCAGTGAATTGACCTTCGATGTTGAGGAATGTTACTTGTTCATATTTAGAAAATAATATTGTTTTTTGTTTTCCTATTCTTTTCTATTGATGAAAAATTCTTTGAATGTAAAGATAATCGTTCTCTAAATCTATTATTTCAACAAAAAGAAGTTTGTTCAATTTTTGTAATACTTATTTATTTTGCTAAATTAGTAGTTTCAAATAGATTAATCATGTAGAGAAAATATCTAATTGTATCGGTTTTTATCTTTAATGACCAATTTACCCTTCATCGACTTGAATTTTGCACTATCAAGTTCATAATCAATATTCACGCGATTAGAATTTTTTTTTAAAGTATTTTATTAAAAAAAGAAAAATAAGAATCATCATTTACTGATTCACAAAGAAGTGAATCTTTAAATGTTCTATTCTATTTTCTATTATTAATATTCATGAGTCGAAATGAGTTTAGCTTATTGCTAACCTTTAACATTTTGTACCTTGTTTTGTTTTCAGTAATAGAAAGAAAAAATAGAGCATTGACAGACTTTGCTCTATTGCGTAAATAAGAAATAAAACGAATGTATAGAATTTTTGCTTCATTAAAAATAATAATGATTGTTTCATCAAATTCTAAAACTCAATCAAGAATGTATAAAACAGGTATACATATTTCAGTAAGAGTTTGATAGTAATTTTGAATTCTTTTTTTTTTCAAACTCAATATTTCAATGTCCGATTGAAATATTGCTCTGATTGCGACGAGTGATCATTTCACTTCTTCATCCATATAATTATATATTAACAAGTATACGCCCCACCGCGTCATATTGGTATTAATTTAAATAATGTCCAATCATTATCGTAAAAAACGACGTAAGTAAATCGATGTTTTCTACAAGCCATTCTAAACAGCATGAATACTTTTATAATAGAATAGCAAGTTCAGGATACGCTAATTCAAAAGTATTAATTGTCATCATTGTTCTTGTAGCTGCATTTATGATACTAGTATCATCACTTGCTCTTACTCATATGGATTCTTTTACAACAACTAGTTGTAAATAATTATTAACATTTCATATTTTGTTATATTCGATTTTTGTTTCAAACATCAACCACAATGGACTATAACTCCTATTCCTAGTTCATCATCACAATGTTCATCTTATTCAATTAATAACAATGCTACACGTATAGCAACAGTAGCTAGTAGAAGTTCATGCGACTATGAGATAACTTGTTAGGAAATTTGAAAAAGCTTCATGAAAAATGATAATTAAAATTAACATCAGAGATATTATCGCCATGGTTGAGTGGTTATATTGTTCAGCAGATATCTATAAGGTAATGTACTCAAATCTCGGTATCACTAACTATGAACTGATCTTAGACAAGTCACTCATGACTGTTAGTCTCACATCATCCATTCAATAGCATGCTGACTAGGTTGTGACATACATCTATTCTTGTAGTTAATTAGTGTGTATAGAGAGTTCAAGCAATTGAACACAAGAATTCTGCATCAGACTGATCTACTGTCCAAAACTACAGTTGGTATTAGTTGTAGATAAGTGTGAGTTGAGTAACTTGATTGTTTCTTTTCTTTTTTTTAATGCAAACAAGTCGAAAGCATGATATACATTGACATATTCGGTCATTACTGTTCAAGATTTATTCTAATAGTGTGTCTAAAGAAAAGTACATGCTTATTTAATACGAATAATTACCATCATTTTAATTGTATTCGGTATCTATAGTTCGATTTATTCTAGTGATTTTCAAAACTCTTCCAATAAAATACAATAACTTATCAATATTTTGAGAAATATTTCAAAATGCTCCATTGACTATCCTTGCTGATCAGTGTATAGTACTCTTCTTTTTTTCTTCTGTTGGAAGACCTTTTATAATATATGTCACTCTCGATAACGTATCAATATTAATGTCATTCACAATATAGTATTCAATGACAACATTTTCTATCATATGACAATAGATGTATTGAATCAAGTTGTATATCAAATCCAAATACGAAACTTAACTTGTATGCTCATTATTCAAATTCGGCTAACTGTATCGACATTTCAACCTACATACACAAAATGATAATAAAACTGATAATTTGTCATGTTCATCATTGAGTTCAAGATCAGTTTTACTTATAAAAAGACAATAGTTCATTATGCTTGGATCAAAATCAAGAAGAAAAAAAGAAAAAGAAAACGATATATCATATATATATATATATATATATATATATATATAATACTTGACCGAATAGTTACAAGTAGGAGTAGATACAATAGATCAAGGTCTTTTTTTCTTTGTACTAATAATCACGGTCATGGGATCTTATAATCTATTATATTATTCATAATCCTTTTTTTTTGTAACCAATTTTGTATGCAAAAAAAAAATTGTCATATCTTAACTTGAATACATTTTCGGTTAACTAGTAGAATTATTTTTTTTATTTTCTAAGAAGTTTTACTATGATTGAGCTCATCGTATGCTTTTTTTTTCTTTCAAAATGTGTAAAATCCATATCTATTTCTTTTTCTTTTAAATAAAAATATGTGATTTGATTAATGATGAAAGTGTTCAATCATCAACCAGACGTGTTGATTCACAGATAACTGTACGAATCAATACCGAAAGATAAACTTCATCCATCATTGTTGACCTCGGTAAAGAAGTTGACCGCAAACAGCGAACTTTCACCGAATAAATGTATGTGATCATTCAACCGTAACTATTTGAATGATATAGTTAAAAGAACAAAAAAAAAACGAAGAAAAAAGAACAAAACTCAATAGACAACAATAAATAATGATTCACTTTAACAACTTTTGTTTCATAAAATCTTTTCGAACAATTTTTAATTATAAAGTTCAAATAAAATATGAATAACTTAGGTCTGTCTTTTTCTCGTCAAGGTATATATGTTAAAAAGAAAATTGATAATGATGATTGATAACCATCTCTCATATCCTCATTGCTCTACTTTTCTTGCTATAAGTACAATATCGGAGAAAAAGAGATAGAGAGAGAGAGAGAGAGGGAGAGAGAGATATGCGCTTATTTTTTCGAATAATTAAACATACAACGACGATATATAGTTTGTCTCCTATGAACATATTCTTTATTCATTACATATTCGAGCATATAGAGGTTTTCTTTCTCTTGTTCTAATAGTAACAATCGTTTTTTTTTGTTGTATGTCCCATTCAATCACTATGAAATAAAAAAAAAATCATATAACATTTAAAAAAGAAAATTGAACGTTTGAATAGGTAAGTGAAGATCTTGATATTATTAATGAACACTTTTATATCAAGATTTCATTAGAATTATTCAAGGTAATTTTAATGAATAATCGATATATGTGTATATGTCTTTCCAATTCGTTCATTATATGTTAACGATTGTTGAACATACATACACAAAACGAAAAGTATCGAAAAATCTTTTTCAATTATTCTTTTTTCTTATTTAATGTGATCTAAATAACCGTAGAAAAACGATTAATTTTTCGATTTCTATGTTTTTAAATATATTTTAATTTTAGATTTAATCTTTTGTTTTTTTTTGGACTAACATTATGTTTCCAAAGGCTACATATAATCCAATGTCAATGGGTTTTCAATATCCCGGACAACAACACCACCAACAACAATCACCATCCATCTATCAATCACAATATAATGGATTTAATCGACAAATGCAAGTACCTTTTCAACAAGCTCCATTACCACCTGGACAATCATTACCACGTGGACAATCATTACCAGCATCTATGAGACAACATCCACCATCTAATAGACAAAATCCACCACCTAATAGACAAAATCCACCATCGAATAGACAAAATCCACCACCTAATAGTATTTATCCTCCAAATCTATCTCAACGATACGAGCAATATGAACCATCGGCTGTAATTCAACAGTATGACTATCGTCATAATTACGTACCACAAGGTAAGCCTTTTTTTTGTTTAATTTCTTATCGTTAATATAAATTGCTTATTTGTAGTTTATTTAACTCTGTACTTATGATAAGACTTAAAAGGGCATAGTTTTAATTACAAAATAACATAAGTCATAAGCGACGATTTGTACCGTCGAATTACCTTGGTATTTAAGAAGAATATATAGATCATCGACAAAATGAGTTGTTTGAGATTCCGAGAGCAGAATGGAATTATATAAACATGATTTTGTGAAAGGGAAAGTTCGAACATGTTACCATTCTACAGGACTAGCCGTTCGAACAATACTGTTAACAAAAAACAAAAATTATTTTTTACCATTGTGTAGAGCTGAGCTTTGAGATTCAGGAAATGTAATTGATTCGTCTGTCGAACAATTTAATTTTGTCAGATATGAATTTTCCTGTGGTAATCACGAATTTCAGGCTAATTTTTGGACAACCAGTTTTTCAGTTTCATTGAAGATTGTAGCAAGGTTATTTATACGTAAGTGAAGTTAGCACCATATTCGAGTAAAAGTTGCCCAGATCCATTTAGGAGCCAGGCCCGTAGCCAGGAATTTCCCAAGGGGGGTGCCGGACTTGTTAAGGGGGTGCCCACCAGCGGGAAAATAATTTTTCGCTTCACAAAAACGTTTTTCGCCTGTACCCCCCCTCCAGGTATTTTTTGGCCAAGGGGGTGCCCGAGCACCCTGGGCACCCTCCTGGCTACGGGCCTGTTAGGAGCTTGTTCCAAAGTGTCCAACCAGCATTCCTAGTACAACTCGACAATTTCTATCCAATGGTATGTTCAGATTCCCAATATCTCAAAGTATGATTTTTAGATTTTCTGTAGCGTCATCTATCAGCCTAAAAATCATACTTTGAGCTATCGGAAATCTAAGCATACTATCGGATAGAACTCGTCAAGTTGTACTTGAAGCACTGGTTGGACGCTTTGGAATGGACTTCTAAACGAATATGGACAATTTTTACTCGAATATGGTGCTAACTTCACTTACGTGTTATTTATACCGTTAGATAGACTATATTTGGAAGTATATTTCCTTGTGTTTAAACCTTGAAAGAGCACGATTTTCATTTTTAGCCAAATGTTCGCCTAGATGCACACTGCGTCCTTCTTTTATGGAACTCACGTATATTTTCTTTGAAAATAATAGTGAATAGACGCAAAAATTGAGATTTTTGTAACTTGTTCCCACTTCTATTAAAGGCATTAAACAAGACTTAGAAAATTCTAGAACATTCCGGAAGTGTTCTTGAAATTTAAATGACTAAAATACGTCTTTCAATATTCTAAATAACGCAATTTCTGACTTCTTTGTAACAATCATATGATAGATATTAAGAATGATATTTTGGTTTCCTACAACTGCTATCTGACCAACATAAAAGCATGACTGAATCAAGTTCTAACTAATAGATCGTTAAGATCTACTGTATATATAACGAATATATACAACAGACTTATTTGTCTATTAAATTAATGGTTAGACAAATAATAATAAATTATGAAAAGAAAATAAATATCATGTGAATAGCAACAAGACAGATAAAAAAGTGACAATTGATTATCGTTGAAAAATAATGATGGTTTTTTTTTTAGAAATTTTACACTTTACATACTTTGTATTAGTACAATCAAGCTAAATAAGACATATGAGTTTCATATTTTCAATTCTAAATGAGATACACAGACAAGTTTTCTTAAATATAAATTGATATATTGTTATATGCTCTAGGTAAAAGACATCATAAACATCGAAATATTTCTTCCAATGGTGTAACTGATCAAGATTTACAACCAGATAGAGAAAAATCTAATAAAAAAAAAAACCAAAGAATCTCATCAAAATCAATCACCTGCATTAGAAAATCATACAAAACAAGATGAAACAACTATTAATGATCATCAAGAAGAACAATCTCTACCAATTGAAAACATTCCTAATGTTAATCAATCTGAAGATCATGGTGTAGGTGTAGAACAACAACAACCACAACAGCAACAACAAAATTCTGAAGAGAAAAAAAACCGTAAATCACGTTCAAAGAAAAAAAATCATCATCGTCATGATCATGTTGAAACTAATAATCATGATGATAATACTTATTTTCAAACACAACCATCAGCTTTTTTTGCTGAATTACCATCACATGTGAAGGTAAATATTAATTCTAAAACCAAAAACAAAAAAAAACAAAATTCTTTCTTTTTAAAATTCTTTGTCTAGGTTCATCAACAACCACTTTATACTAGTTATAATCAAGTTTATGAAGAATCTATTCTACGTGGTGATCTTTATCAAAAACAAGCAAAACGTTCAACACGTTTACCACCAGAAGCTAAACAAAAATTATTACCACATGAAGAGGATAAAAAAAAACCATATCCAGTTGTTGGCTATTTTCAACAACAACAACAACAACAACAACAACAATATAATGACGCTCGTCCACCATTTAGTCCATATCAACCATATACTGCTCGACCTCATTTCTATGGTCCAACAGTTCCTTATAATCCTCGTCAAGCATGGTCAAATATAAATGGAAATAACATGGTTGATGAACAAAAAATTGATCGTTTAAGAAATCATATTCAAGCATTAGAACATGAATTACATAAATTACAAAAAAAATTATATAAAGCAACATTACATCGTAATGAAGTAGCAATAAGAGGTGAAAGTCATCGAATACAACATCGATCAAAACGTGAAGCTATTGGATCACCAAGACAAACACCTGTTATTGTTGAATTAAATAGTACAATTAATGATAATGTTAAAGAACCATCAACAACATCATCTAAAATACATCGAAATCGTACAGAAAGTGATCATAGTTCACGACAAGGACAAAATCATGTTCAACAAACAAATGAAATATCTGAACAAAATGTAACATCATTCGATAATCATGTACGTAGTCAAAGTCCAGATCAATATCAAATAGATTCTCATGAACGGTAAACAAAAAAAGAAAAGAAACACTATTCAAAATATATATTTTTGTATTAAATCATTTTTTCTAGTACATATTTGAATGATAATCAAATATTAGAATCTGAAGAGAAAATTTCATTACCAAAAAAAAGTTCACGTGAAGAAACAGCTGCACAATTAGCACATGCAGCTGCAGCACATGTTAATGCTCGTCAACAATATCCACCACCTCCACCACCATCATCACAACCAAAAATTTTACATCAAACAGATGTTTTACCAGCACAAGAACAACAAATTCGTGGTCAAATTCAATGTTTACCTGTTAATGGTAATATTCATCATTCAAATGATTTACAACAACAACGTAATGTTGCAAATTTAAATAATAATGAATTTCATATTAATAAAGATGAACCACGAAATTTTGAATCAGTTGAAAAAATTCTTGATGCATTTGAACGTATTTATATGAAGGATAGAAAAACAGCAACAACTCCAGTCAAAGTTAAATATATACCTGATGAACAACATAGTATTTGTTATCATCAACGAAATAAAAATAATAATAATCAATATAGATCAGCAAGTCCAAGTAGTCAAACAACAACATCATCATCATCAACTTGGTCAAATACATCTGATGAACCATCTTTAGGAGGTCTTCCACAAAAAATGGTAATTATCGAATGAGTTAAATCAAAGTTAAGACTTTCTATCAGGATTCTCGATTAGAAAGAGAATGGGAAGCTTCTCCTCATTCCCCAAAATTTTCATTTTGTAGTAAATTTCGACAAAAGCCGGATTTTGAAAAATTATTTGCTTTTCTCTGACAAAGAGTGAAATAAAAAAATAAGCCGACGATGTCGTTACGAGAATGAATAGAATTAGAGGCAGGCCTCGGAGGAGGAGGGAAGCTCTGGTCTTCGATCGTTTGCTGGTACTCTGAGGATGAAAGCACTTTCTGCAAGAATTTTTAACTCTTTCCACCTTTAAAAAGTATCAACAGCCTTGATCTCGGAATCAGGACCAATACCTTTTATGGTCGTGTAAAACTTACATCGAATGTCATCTTGTTGCGATTCATGTGTTCCAAGTACATATGAACAGAATCGTCCTGCTTATGTCTACCCTGTAGTAAAATGGGTATTACATTCGTTTCACACATGAAAAATCGTAGGTTCGATCCCTACCAAACTATCATGACTGAGTGACTACGTTGTTCGGCATGTATCTAATAAGTAGTGTGTTCAAACCTCGGTGTCACCAGCTATGAAATGCCTCTGAACAAATTACTAACGGCTTTTTGTCTTGGATTAACCATCCGATAGCATGCTGACATACATCTGCCCTCATAGCTAGTATGTGATTAATCAATGTGTACAGAGAGCGCAAGAACTCTGCATTGGACAGACTTTCTAGCTGTATTATTCCTTCTGAATCCTATCAAAATCATTTTCTTTTCTTTTTTTTTTGTTTTAGCCATATCCACATAACAATTAACAAATGTTCATCATCCAATCGACCGTGAGAATGGAAACATATACGTAGGACATTTCAAAAAGTTCTCGAATTGATATTATTTAAAAATAACTATGAATTGCTAGTATATGAGTATTGATATCTGTACAGAGTTCATCTAATCTTCTATTTATAGATATCATAAATTATATATATCGAAATATAATCTATAGTTTATTTTTCCCTTTTAAGGGCATCCCCTTCTCTTTTTCAGATTTCTCAAGAACGGCTCGACTAAAAATTATGAAGCTTTCAGAGTAGATAGATCTCAACTAGTAGAGTAAAAGTTGTCATAGACTCAGAATTCCCAGATGTTTCCTTCTATCACACGCAGAAGACGCATGCGTCAAAAATGACCTGCAGTTTTCCCCTCGCAAACAGTCAAAATTCAATTTTTATGGCTGAATTTTTTTGTTGTAGCGACTAGGACTAAATCATGGCGTATATATTTTTTTCTCTTTAAAAAATATTGTTTCCTTCGCTTAGGAAAGCTACAATATTTGAAGTTCTGTTAAAAAACGTGTTTTTTTTCCCTAGGGTAAAATTTGTCAGATCTGCCAAAAACCATCGGAACATTATTGTAAGAAAAGAAAATACATAACACCTCGATTTTGTCCTAGTTGTCACACATAAAAAAAATTTCAGCTCAATCATCCGAAGATTCTAGGAGAAAAAGGAGTAAAACTTCAATTTTTCTCTAAACAAAAAAAAAGTTGATTTTGAGAAAAACATGAAACAACATAAAACGAGATTCTTTCGATATTTCGTTTTTTTTTTCTATTTTTTAATGTATAGTTATCAAATTAATATACTTATAAAACGGCTAGGAGGATGCATCGCTAACCTACACAACATATTTTTGACGATGGAATAACTATATTAGTATAGATCATTTACAACACGATCGGCCTATAGAACGTGATTTTTTTTTGCATAGAGGATCTCTAAAGTCGGGTTGTTTAAGAATCTAAATAGACACGAAAACTTTTCATTCATATACCATTCGATAGAGGATACTTGAATGTCTTTTTAGATACAATAAAATCGAAAATGAAAACAAAAAAAGAGTGAATTTTTGGGTCAGGAAAGGGGAAAGTGTCCTTAAATTGCCGAACTCATTTAAAAATCATAACCTAATGGTAATAAAAATTTGGCTTAAATTTTCGACTTTTTTTTGTTTTTGTTTTGAATCAGTAAATAGAAGATATTCTAAAAATAATTGCTATATATTAAGATTTATGATATCTATGAAAAGAAGATTGTATGAACTATGCAAAGATATAAAAATACTTATTTTAACAATACTTCTTCTAATATTTGACTAAAATCAATTTTGAGAACTTTTTAAACATCCTACGTATATTGCTTTGCCGTTATAATAATATAGAGACAAACTATTTGCTCTAAAAAGAAAAACTATCAAAAATCATGCGTTCTCTCGATCTTATTTATTTACTGTCTCTTCAATTTGATCTCTATTGTATAAAATAATAAAGTTAGTTTTTTTTTTCTTTCTTCGATTCTTCATAGTTTTATCTGTTTCTTTCTTTCTTTCTTTTTTTTTCTCTTTTGCTTTGATAGTTTTAAAATTCGTTCAATCTTTTTATTTAGTTTCTTCTTTTTCTTTTTTTTTTTTTTATTATTTGTAAACTAGTATAAGTTCTTTAAATAGATATTCATCTTACGTATTCATGCAATTTATTTATTATTTAGCTTATGATAATGAATGTTAAAAAAAAGAAAAGAAAACTTCATATAGTCCTTCAAAATATAATTCACAATTGTTTGTGTCGTTGTTTAATTGATTCTATTATTGCTCGTCCTACAGATTGACGGCGACCAAGTTTATGTAAATTTCCATGACGAGAAACAAAATTATTTCGTGATTTGACAAAAGGATCAGGACGAACTATTGAATGTTTATTTTTAACAACAGTACTATTCGTATAACCAATTGATGCGAATAAAACCAAACAAGAGAAAAATACGGCAAGAATTGTTGTTAATTGCATTTTGATATATTCTTTTTTTCGATCGAATAAATGTGTTTAGTCTTGATTAATCGTTGACTTTTATATAGTAGAAAAGAAAGCAATATAAAATGGTCTGGCCTTATCATTATGACTTTCGAAGGCTATTATAAAAGAATTGAAGTTTTTCAAGTGATTTTTGTCTTGCAGAAGACAACCTTTCAAGTAAGTAATTCGAATGTTTATAGCATAAGTTTCTATTTGAGAATGAATTGTTTTAAAATACATCTTGTAATAAAATCTTTTATGAATACAATTAGTAGTATTTTAAGAAAACAAAAACTATGGTAACATGATATCTAATATATTCAACTTTTATTGTTGAGCCTGACTTTTTTTTTATCGGAATTTATTGTATTGAGTTACAAACTATAAGATTTATCTATTAATAGCATTTAATACATCTTAAGTGTACCAAATGAGAGTCAGCCTTCACCGCTATTCCAAATGTCGTTGTTTTGCCTTCATTTTCAATTAAATATCTGTTCTCAGTGTAATTCCTTCCATGGGATGAGGAAATCTATGACGGAATTTATAGAAAAATTTTAGAAGTATTATTGTTTTTTAAAAAGAACATGAATGAGTAGAATGTTTATAACTTTTTAATGAAAAGAGCTAGAGAGCTGCGGTTTCCAGCATTCGAAAGAGGACAGTGCGGGTAGGGATCTGCAAGACGGTCTTGGTAGAACCGAGCCTAAGATTCTTTTTTAACCGGAGTCGAGTTCAATATCTTCAAGCTGGTTTCGGTACTTTTTCTTACAAAGAACTAGACTAGACTAGGCATTTTGATAGTCATTATTTTTTTTTATGATCAGCTATCTAAAAACCAGAATTCTTTAACAATCTCGACAAAATTTCTCCAGTAATCTTAGTTCTGACTTCAAAAATCGGAATTTTGCGACAACTTGTCTGGTTTTTTGACTAAGTGACTCATAATATACAGTCAATACATAGCTTTTATCTATGGCTGAGGTTGAGAGCAGAAAAAAAATATAGTCGGGACAGGGACTGAAAAATAATGGTTTTGCAGGTCTCTAAGTGGAGGACATAGATCCATGTAAAAATTAAAAATTTTCCGATGCTTTTCAGGCTAACTCTAGCGAAGCAAAGTTCGGAAAACAGGCAATTTGTCCAAAAAAAAAAACTGTTTTTTAATTTTTTTTCTCCGACAACATAGGCCTATAAACAGTTCTCTTTCTAACAATGCGAAAACCAAGTCTTTATCGCTTTTCGTTCTCGAGATAGAGACGTTTTTCCAAGAGCTATCGAACAGGAAAAATTCTCGCTAGGAAAGAGAAAAAAATCTTGATTCATAGGTTTTTGAGCATGTCAATGTTTATTTTATGTTTAAACACCTTTATCTAACCGAAAATTCGATGATCAACTGTTCGAGAATTTGAATTTTGTTCGATCTGAGGTAGAGTAACGTGAAATCCGCATTTTTCTATGATTATTGTATAGTCTTTTACTTTTTTTTTGCTGGAACACGTACTAATTCAAAAAGAAACAGTTCAGTTTTGTAAGTTGTTTAGCTAGAAGTCATCTGAAAATCAGTTGTTCCTTTTTTGCTAGCTAAATAACCTTCATTTGTGACTGTCATGTCTTGTGGTTTGATTAAGGAAGAAAACGAAATATGAATATCACGTACAAAAAGTTGACAAAACATTTCAAAATGTCGATGAATACGCAGAGCGAGTAATTGAATCAGAATTAAAAGAAGAAAGTATCGAATCAGATACCGGAGACAAAGAAGAATGATAGTGTTTTCTAAAAGGTTGGTTTTGCGTTTTTCTGAGAAGTTATTTTTTATACATAAAAGATTACAAGCTCCTTTCAAGTAACTTGTCAATACAGAACATCATAAAAATGAAGCAGTGCTTCAAGCGCAGAATTCTAACTTTTTAATACCTTGAAATATTTACATTAAAACCTTCATTGAACAGGGTCATCAAAGTTTCGATTGGATAAAATTGTCTAAACATAAAATAAACATCGGCATACTCAAAAATCTATGAATCAAGATCTTTTTCTTTTTCCTAGCGGAAATCTTTCCTGTTCGATAGCTCCTGGAAAATGGTCTCTATCTCGAGAACGAAAAGTGATACAGACTTGATTTTTGCAAAGTTAGAAAGAGGACTGTTTATGGACCTAGGCTGCCAAAAAATAAAAATAAAAAAAAGTTTGTTTTGGACCAATTGCCTGTCTTCCGAACTTTGCTTTGCTAGAGTTAGCCTGAAAAGCTTCGGAAAATTTTTTACTTTTACATGGATCTGTGTTCTCCCCACTGTCCTCTTTCAAATGCTGAAAACTGCAATTCTCCAGCTCTTTTCGTTGAAAAGTTATAAGCATTCAACTCATCCATATTCTTTTTAAAAAAACGATAATAGTTGTATCTTTTTGTAGAAAATTCATATGTCAATGTATGAAAAACCTTGCATGTATTTTATTTTAAACGAAAAGATTCTTCATCACATATATTCATGTCTATATATTTACTGTAATCCTACATTAAGTAAATGCCTGTTTCTCATCCTATTATACATATAGTGCCAAATTCACTCTTTGATTGTCACGATGCGAATTGCAAAGTATGAAACTATCGAAGGAAGTTGTTAAATAGAAATATACTAGCAGATGTTCTTGTTGATTAAATCAACAAGAAATACTTGAAAACATAATTTATAACTTCTATATTGATTAGTCTTTCACAAATTATTCGAGAAACTACTAATAAAAATATTGAAGTTAAATCTTTATTGTTTAGAAATCAAAAGCAATTAGAATAATAGTGATATAACATTTATTTTGATCAGTTAAAATTTTAACATCATCATAGATAATAATAACTCATGGATAATAAACTAAGATTGAATAAAATATTTTGAAATTATATTTCTGAATCAAATAATTAATCATGTTGAATATGAAGTTGTTAGAGCAGGTGTATGTAATAATCATATAATAGAAATAAGTTCTTTTCAATCTTACATTAAAATTTATGATGAAAAAAAACAAAATAGAAAATAACAGTATTTTGTATGATTATCATAAATTTCCATAATTATTATGAGAACTTAACGGCATTAAAGTCTCTTGACAAAATTCTTCTAATGAATGAAAATCAATCATCTACCAATAAAATATATATTGATATTAGATGGTAGAGCAAGAACATACGTATATTTATGCATCTACTTTAGTATATAGTAGAAATTGGTACATCAATCGAAATTTTTCTTTATTAAATGATGTTATTATTTCAATATATTGCTTAATTAATAATACTAAGTAAGAAAAACTTTTGCAAGGAATATTAAATTTGCTTTATTATTCTGACGATATGTTATAAAAATCATTTAGCTTGGTTTTTTTTGGTAGTATTTCTAAAAATTAGAAATCTTATCTATGACTACTCTTTTTTTTTTATATGAATAACTAATAGATCTACTTTCTTTTAGTACTATTCATAAAGAAAACATTTGCTTATGATCATTTTTGATTGAATTTCTGATTGAATATAAAAAAAGAATGATTCAATTTTTAAAATGCTAATGCACGATCATCTATATGATTATGATTTGTAGTGAATTATTAAAAATGAATATAACAGTATCGAAAGATATAAAATGACTAAGTATTCAAAGTTAATTTCTTTACTTATTTAAATACATTTTATTATCATTTTCTTTTCTTTTCTTTTTAACTAGTTGTTAGAAAATTGTCATATCTAGGTATAAATTATTGATGGTTCTACAATAAAACTATATTTTCCATGTGATCTCCAAACATTGAAATAATATAATATCAATCTTTGAATAAATATATGGAAAGTTAATCATAAAAAGAAATATATTATCTATATACTCGAACGAACTATATGTAATAAAGTTTCAAATGAATATATCAATTTAAAAGTCGATATCAGATCGAACTTTGTCTGACAATTTCGAATATTCGAAATTTAATGAAAAAAGAAAAAAAAAAGTTTTGTAAGAATGATAAATTTATTTTCAAAAGAAAGTTCCTATATTCTTACGTCGAGTTTCTATTTGTTACATGTCAGAGATGTTTATCAGTTGTAAACATAGAGAAAAAAAAAGAATTTTATTAACGATGAAACAATGAAGGATTTATATAGTGTTTGTCAGTTTTTTTTTTCGCAATCTAGTCGATATTGAATAAAGAGAGACAATAAAGAACAAATGTTATTCTCACCAAGGTTAAACCATAATAAAAGTACATTTATTTTCTAGTCAAAAGTGTATTATATTTGTGATTTAAAATCAAATGGATTGATTTGTTCTTCAAAAAAAAATCAATGTACTACAGTACGGGCCAATTGAATTTTCCCTCTTTATTTTTGTTGCTTTAATCCATTTATTTTTAAACATACTATATAGAGAAAGAAAGTACAGAACGAGCTGTATCTTATGGTATATTCAACATGAACAATAAATAAAGTTTAAAAGATAGAAAGTTAATTAAATAAAAAAATAGTGTTGTTTTTTTCTGCAATATACATCACGATTTATAGATTATAATAAAAAATTCATAAAAAATCATTAGAACCGATCGTGATATTCATCAATTTCATATTTAATACGATATTTTCGATATACATTACTAATTTCTTTTCTTGATAACGAATAAAACGTTTGCGATGATAATAAAAATACGTCTGTTGGAACTAATAGATATTGATTTCGAATTTGTTGTTGAAATGAATGTTAAAGTGGATTATCCAATGGTGATAAATACTTTGCAGATGCTGTTGGCACATAAAGAATTTTCACAACCGATTTACGTTTATCAGCTTGTAAAACATGCATCATATTTGCTTGATTATGAGCATGACTCTTGTCACAAAACAAAGAGATATTGTCGATATACTTTTGTGGACTTTTTCTTCGATCAGTTGTAATGTGTATGTGTATATGTTCATATATGAGAAGCAAATGGATATCAATAGATAATCGAACAAGAAAGAGAAAAAAAAACAGCATCGACATGATACATAACGCAATATGATTTGATTTCCGACTGGGTAACTTCAAGTGTGTCATCAGCAAAAAATTCTTGTCTTTTGTCGAGTAATTCGAATATACTTATCGGTAGGATGTTATATAAACATAAGATGTGGACTATCAGAATTCATCGAATCTACGTGTGTTGACATAAAAACAATAAGCAAACAAAATTCACTTAACTCACGCTATATGTTGTTGAAAAAAAAAACAACACTATTTTTTTTCTAATTAACTTTTTATCTTTTAAACTTTATTTGTTGTTCAAGCTGAATATACCATAAGATGCAGTTCGTTCCGTACTTTCTTCCTGTACATGCAGTATATTTAAAAATAAAGGGATTAAAGCAACAAAAGCAAAAGAAAAACAAAGGGGAACAACTCAATTGGCCCGCATTGTATATTGGCAAATAAAATTTTCTAGGATTTTTCAAATGAAATATGATAGTTTATTTGATGTTTTTTTCCGATATAATTCTTATAAGATTATTTTAAACGAACAGTGATTTTGGCTGTGAGTGCAGTGAGAACTCACACTCTGTTCAATTCGAATATTGCAGACTCAAAGAATATTATGGCTTTTTTTTTTCAAGCTAAGTCAATTAGTTATGACTTAAGATATTTAGGATAGGGTTATTCTTTCAAGAATGTACCGAAGTTCACATTAATATCATTGTAATTATTACAACGTTTTATAAATCATTTTATAGTGACGTCCAATCAATCGCATCGTAGCACTCTCTATCTGACGGGTGAGCATGAGTCTGTATATTTGTAATTAAACCGCCCACTAAATAGTTTTGATAATTTTTTATAAAATCATAGCATGTAATAATATCTATTAACTTAATCAAAAGCTCTCGAAGTCTTCTAAGATGAACTGTTGAGTTGAAATTTCTCGTAATTGATAGGAGAAAAGTCTTTTTTTTTGGATAAAAAAAACCAACCGAACTCTCAAACTGTATCTTTTCTCATGTTATCATTTTGAACATAAATTCACTATGAAGGTTTTCATTATTCAATGAATTTGATTGAAGTATTTCCTTTGATATGGCTCGAAATATCGCGGCAATGACATGAAGAATACGCGAGTATTTTTGTCAATATTAGCTTTATCATTTATATATTTAAAATATAAGGAAAGTAATTTAAATGGATAGTTCATTTTGTGAAGCACAACTATAAGATTTAATGTATATTCGATAGTTTTAAGTGTCTTGTTGTTGATATTTTATGATAATATTACAAGAATTTCCATCAGTAAGAGAAATATTGTTAAATTAAGTTTTCTGGAATTCGATGTCTTCGGACAATTGAGATCCGATGTCCAATCATCACTGCCTACACAATTTGGACAAACAAACAATCCATCTGGATCAACGTTTTGTTTGATTAATTTGAGTCGATCGTAAATGGCTCGTGTGCCAAAAAACTTAACTTGCCAATCGATTTCATTTGGATCAGCTTCATTTAAGTAACAAGTTCCCTGCGAATTAATCGATAATCTATTTAAAATTTCTGCTCGATTTGAGACTTGTTGAGCTAGATATTTTTGATCAGTCTCCGATGTACCATCTGGCCAAGCCTGAGAATTGACCATATGAAGAAGAGAAGTACGCCATCCTGGATTGACACTATTATTAAAATTTGATATATTGGATACTTTTCCGCCGGCTACTAAATGTCCAAGTAGAGATGATCCAGTTGCACTTTGACCTTTCACTTGAACAAATGCTTCTGCAACTTTATCCGGTTCATTACGAATAATACTTTCGGGAATAAGTCGTGAGCTAAGTAAAACATTAAAGCCAGTCGGATTACTTGGTTCTAATACAAACGCAAAGTAATAGTAAAATAATGGGACCTCAAAAAGTTTAGTGGCTCCAAAGTTCAAATCACTGTTGTTGGCTGCAAATTGATTCAGTGTAGTATTGACTGCAGCCAAATCTCCATTAGGTACGTGAAAAACACCACTTAGTTTCATACCTGCCATATTGAAATAACCAGACCATCCAGCGTCGGCTACTATTGGTAATAATCGAATAAAACTTTGAATCAGAGTTGCATAACGAATCTCATTTGTCGCATTGATATCATACATAACAGCGACAATAGATGGCGATGGAAAAGTTCGTATAACTGCAGAAAGTGCAATAGCATAAGTACCACCACCTCCACCGCTTAATGCCCAGAATAAGTCGCCATTTTGGCATGGGCTTACCGTTTGACGCTGTCCATTGGCAGTTACAACATCGTATTCAAGTACTTGATCAGCCGCCAAGCCCTGCCAACGCGACAGTGGACTATGGCCACCCCCTTGCATGAATCCCCCAACTGCACCCACTGTAGCCGATGCTCCTCCAATCGCTGTCAAATTGTATTCATTCAGCCATCT